TGGTTTTGATTTTCATTTCTCTAATTATTTGGTGATATTTAGTACCTTTTCATGTGACTGTTGACCATCTATAGTTCTTTGGAAAAATGTCTATTTAGGTCTTGTATAGTTTTTAATTTTTTAATATTAAATTGTGTGAACTGTTTGTATATTTTGTCTATTAACTCCTTGTTATTCACATGGTTTGCAAATAATTTCTTCTATTCTGTAGGTTGTTTTTCCAGTTTGATGATTTCTTTGCTGTACAAGAGCTTATAAGTTTCAAGTCTCATGTTTATTTTTCTTTTTATTTATTTTGCTTCCAGAGACTGAGCTAAGAAAACATTGCTGATTTATGTCAGAGAATGCTTTGCCTATGTTCTCTTCTAGAATTTTTATGGTGTCATGTCTTATATTTAGATCTTTTGCCATTTTGAGTTCATTTTTATATAGAGTGTGAGGGGTATTCTAATTTCATTGATTTACATGTAACTTTCCAGCTTTTCCAACACCACTTGTTGAAGAGACTATATTTTATCCACTGTATATTCTTCTTGCATCCTTTGTTATAGTTTAATTGACTGTGTGTCTGTAGATTTATTTCTGGGCTCTCTATTCTTTTTTTTGTTTTTGTTGTTCAGTGGCTAAGTTGTATCCGACTCTTTGTGACCCCTGTGAACTGCAGCATGCCAGACTTCCCTGTGCTTCACTGTGTCCTGGAGTTTGCTGAATCTCATGTCCATTGAGTCAGTGATGCCATCCAACATCTCATCCTCTGTCACCTCCTTCTACTCCTGCCTTCAGTCTTTCCCACCATTAAGGTCTTTTCCAATGAGTTGGCTGCTTGCATCAGGTGTCCAAAGTATTGAAGCTTCAGCTTCAGTATCAGTCCTTCCAATGAATTGATATTCCTTTCTATTGATCTACATTTGTGCCAATACCATGCTGTTTGGATAACTGTAGGTTTGTAATGTTGTCTTAAGTCTGGGTGAGTTATGTCCCTAGCTTTGTTCTTTTTCCTCAGGATTGTTTTGGAAATTCTGAAACTTTTGTCTATTATATGTTCTAGCTCTGTGAAAAATGTTATGGACCAACACCACACTATCTTGATTTAATGTAACTTTGTAAATAAATTGTGAAGTAGGGTAGGAACTTTAGAACCTATTTGTCAGTATCCACAAAATAAATTGCTCAGATTTTGGTATTATGTTGGATCTATAGATTAAGTTGGGGCAAGCAACATCTTAAAAATATTGTCTTACTATTCATGAGCATGAATTATCTCTTCATTATTTATACCTTCTTTGATTTCTTTCAACAGAGTTTTATAGTTCTCTCCTATAGATCTTGTGCCTATTTTTTTAGATATATTTTTTGTGAAATATTTTAACAGTTTAGAAAAAAAATTTTTTTTCTGTGATTCCTATGCCCATACCAGCAGTGTCACCTGGAAAAATTGGTAAAAATGCATGTCTTTAGCTACACTCCAAAGTTATTTGAGACTTAAATATGGAAGTACCTATGTTGTTCAATATTTATTTTTATTAAGAGCATGTGGTTGAATTGGAAGCCATGTAAAGGACCACAAAATTGTCTATCTTCCCTTTCTGTCATTAGATGACTTTCTATTGGCAGCTCAGTTTTGTTAAACCCATTTATTCTGATAGCAAGAGCTCTTTAATCTTCCTGCTTCAACAGGAAGTAATCACTCTTCCTTTTCAACAATGTGGTTTCTCAGAATACTGCTACCATTTTATCTCAGCTCCTGGAGAGTTAGGATTGAAGGCAGGTCCTTTAAGCAGGGAAATAATTGCTGTGCCAATAACTTGGTTGTTGACTTCACACTAATCACTTTATTTCTTCTAGTCTCCCTTTTTTTAATATGTAGAATGAGAAAATACTTCCCACCTCCCAAGTTTGTTGTATATACTCCAAATGATAAAATGAATATGGAAGTGTTGCATAAATAGAAAAAAAAACACTGATCATATAAATGTTTCTAGTTATCTTTTGTTGCCTAAAAGATTAGGCTTGTGGAAATTTTACTTTGGGAACTTTCTTCATTTAAGAAATTTGCTTTTAAAAATATACTTAAGAGTCCAATATGGGCAGTCTTCCCAGAGCCTATTAGATGCCCTGCTAGTTTAATGTTTTCTTCTATCACAAGAGTTTTTGGACTGCTACAAATTTTATCTCAAAGGCATTCACCCCCATTTCATTCATATGCCATTAGAAATGTCATCTGTACAGCTCTTAAGCCCTATTTGTTTCTTGATCTCTTTTATTTACCCCAAAGCTCTAAAATATACACCTTTTGAGATGTTTTCCTCACCATTCTTCTGGCTATTTTCCACAGGACTAATTTTTTTCTGTCTTTAATTATAGTGTGCTCCCTCAATTCTTCAATCATATATTGAGTGTTGGCTTCCCATTTCCCATTTAATTCCAGGAATGCTGCTGTGAAGGTAGAGCTGAATGAAGGCCTTTTACAACATGCCAGGAATTTATTGCTTGACTGCATCTCTTTCATCTCCTGGAAGTGTAGTGAAAGTGCTTGTATACCTCAGTATGGTAGCTGTTAAAGAACTTTTTATCATTTCTCTAAGAGGAGGCCAAAAAACGCTTTAGTAGAAGAGGGAGGAAGATCACAGCCATAGCATGTGACAACTGCAAATATCTAGTCATTCTCATAAATAAGTTTTAAAGTGTAAAGGAAACTATGGAGAAAATAAACAAAGAGAAGCTTTGCAGCCTTTACTTCTTAACAAGTACAGTGGAGGTGGTAGTAGTACCTCTGAAAGTGTCCTTTAAAAATCTGGATAACAGACTTTCTCTATAATTAAAGATAGAGGCTTGCCTAGGTGCCAAACTGACTCTGAAGGGAACTCTATTGGCAATAGTAAGGTCTGTTTTTGAGGACTGCCAAAAATGAATTTAAACAGTATACTTTCAATGCCTTCTTTTTGTAATATGTTAACCATCAAAGACTCATTTACTAATGATTTATTGCTACATAACACCTTATTCTAAAACTTATCAAGTTGAACTAAAACTATTTAATTTTATTTCATGTTTTTTTTTGGGTCAGGAATTCAGGCAGGGGTCATCTGGGAGATTTTTGTGCTCTATGTGGTGGTATTCACTTGGGGTATAGGGTGGTATGGAAGATAAAAAAATAGCTTCACTTACATATCTGACGCCTTAGTGAGATGACTGTAAGCCTGAGTTCAGCTGGACTACTGACAAGAATGTCTACATTTGACCCCTCTAGCTTGGTAGTGGCAGGATATTTCAACTTCTTATACTGTGGCTCAGGTCTTATGAGGACTGTTGCAAGGCAACCAGGTGGAAGTTACTGGCTTTTTATTACCTAGCCTGACATGTCATGTAGTATCACTTCCACTGTATTTTGTTGGTTCAGAACAGGAACAAACTCACTTGTATTCAAGGTAGAGGGAATAGAGGCCTTTCTTCTCAGTGGGAGGAGTATCATAGAATTGGTGGTCATGCTTTAAAACTTCCACAGTAGTAAAAAAAAAAATTATTCCCTGTATGTGATCTATGACACCAATGACTTAGTTTATTTCCAGGTGGGTACACAAAGTTGATAGCACATAATTCACAATCCATAGAAAAGTAGTATGTATTAGGCAAGAGAGACAGGCTGGTACTTTTAGTAAGAAAATTATTGTTTTCAATTGAAGATAGTCATGGAGCCTTGATTGGATGAGAGTTTGCCTATTTATTTGAACCTTAAATCATACCTGGATGCAAAATAAGAGGTCCTGCTTGTAGGACCTGAATGCAATATGTGTTAATGCCTCAACTTGCCTTGTGCTTTGTTGATAGTTTAAAAATTGCTTCTTAGTTTGGAAAATAAGGGGTTCCCTGATAGCTCAGTTGGTGAAGAATCTGCCTGCAATGAAGGAGACCTGGGTTTGATCTCTGGGTTGGGAAGATCCCCTGGAGAAGGGAAAGGCTACCACTCTAGAATTCTGGCCTGGAGAATTCCATGGACTGTATAGTCCATGGGGTCGCAAAAAGTTGGACACGGCTGAGCAACTTTCACTTTTCGAAAATATAGGACTGGTCAAAACTGGCTTTCTACTCTGTCTTCTGTTTTTGTTATAGAGACATTTCTTGTCTTACTGACACTTCAGTCTCATCAGATAAGGAAGCCAGTCCCTCATTTTTTTTCTTGTCTTGTAATAGATCAAAATTAAAGCATAGCTAACTTGCACCTTTGAAAAAACAAACCCTGCTTGTTGCTTTGGATAGATGAAAACTCCCAAGAGGTTTATATGAAAAACAAAACTTTGTATATCTCTGCCTTCCCAGTGCACAAGGGCTCCAGTTTGACTATGACATTCTTACTTTCCAAAACCAATATTGCCAATATTCTTATATTCTTTATTGCCAATATTTTTAGTACGTGGAAAGGCTGTTTCTGTCAGGTTCTGAGCATACAGTTACGTCTTTTGAAGGCCTGGTCTAGTATTCTCTGTGATGCTGTAATAGATTCCTAGTTCTGAGAGAAATGTTCTGGCTTTATGACAAACCAGGGCAGGGCTAGAAACAATTTATACTGGGATTTTTCCTGGTGCTATTACTGTTAAATCATTTGCTTCCCATGAAATGATTTGTACTTGGTGCAATTGTCCTTTTCATGTTTTTTTTCATTCCCCCTTTCTTCTCTTTTCCACACATAATTCAGGCTTCCTGTGTCTGTTTCTGGTCATGACTCTGGATATTTATCAATTAAAAACTCAGATCATACTACCAGCAAAGTTACAGAGAAAGGCCCCTAATATTTCTTCTCTCATTTTCTCTGAAAGCATTTGATTTTAAAAGACCAACATGGGAAAACAGTAACAAAACCCAACAAACCAGCAAACTAGTTAACATTTTGCACTAATACACATTGATGGTGTATTATAAGGAAATATCCTAGTAGCAATGAATCTTGAATCTGAACCTTGCTAACTTGAAAGTTATTTTGTGTGTTTTTTCTTTTTCTCTAGGTACACAATGCTAGTGATTTGCTGATCAAACCCCTGGAAAATTTCCGGAAGGAACAAATAGGCTTCACAAAGGTACATTTTCTCTACGTGTGTAGATATTTTTTAATAGTATGTGGATAGTTGTTTGGGCTACCACCCTTCACCTTTCAAGCTTGAGGAGGATTCATCTCTATAAGAAAACTTCTTATCAGAAAGTGAGAAAGTCTGGATTTGGCTCCTGACTGTGCTTCCAGCTAGCTCTGTAACTGTGGACAAGATACTTCTCCTTTTGGAGCTTCACATTCTCCACTTGGGAAATGGGGAACTTGATAATAATAAATATTATGTAAAGATGACTTACTATGTGCTGAGCCCTGGGCTAGGTGTTTTACATTCATTCTCTTAATTACAATAAACCTATGAGGTTCTGTTATTATCCCCATTTTAGAAATAAGGAAACTAAAGTTTGAACAAGATAAAGGACATGACCAAAATTATCGTGATGTAGTTAGTAACTGACAGTCACTAAGATTTAAAACTGAGTATCTATTTAGTTTCAAATCCCACATTCTTTCCATTAAACTATACTGTCTAGATCTGTGCTATCCAATATGGTAGCCAAAAACTATATAAAGAAAGTAAAATTAGTTTCTCAGACATGCTAGTCACATTTCACATGCTTAGCCCCGTGTGGCTAGTGGCTGTTGTATTGGACAGTGCAAATATAGAACATTTCCATTATTGTAGAAATTTCTACTGGGCAGCATTGTACCAGATAATGTCATGGATCGCTCCTATTCCCCAGTGTTTCATGAAGGGGCATGAATAATTGTCAAATTTCTTCTTTTTCATGAGAATATTTGGAGAAACTTTATTCATAATAGCCCCCAAGCTGGAAACAGCCCAAAGGTCCTTCAATGAATAAATTATTGCCAATGAGTTTTCTAAGATGCTTCCATGCCCTGTTGTTGTTGTTGTTCAGTTGCTAAATTGTGTTCAACTCTTTGCAATCACATGGACTGCAGCCATGATATTTTCCCTGGCAATCTTGATTCAGCTCGTGATTCATGCAGCCCAACATTTTACATGATATATTCTGCATATAAGTTAAATAAACAGGGTGACAATATATAGCCCTGTCATACCATCTCCTAGCTATTTCAGTGAATGTTGGGGTGCATGTATCTTTTTGAATTCCTTTTTTCTCTGAGTATATGCCCATTTGTCAGTGTCATTAATTATTAGAGAAATGCAAATAAACTACAATAATGGAAATGTGTGAAGATTCCCTTTTCTCCACACCCTCTCCAGCATTTATTCTTTATAGATTTCTTTGATCATGGCCATTCTGAAGTTTGTGAAGTGATGCCTCATTGTACTTTATTTGCATTTCTCTAATAATTAATGACATCGAGCATTTTTCATGTGCTTTTTGGCCATCAGTATGATTTCTAGGGAGAAATGTCTCCTTAGGTCTTCTGCACATTTTTTGATTGGGTTGTTGATTTTATTGATATTGAGCTGCAGGAGCTGTTTTTATATTTTGTAGATTGATTCCTTTTCGGACATTTCATTTTCAAATATTTTCTCCCATTTTATGGGTTGTCCTTTTGTTTTATTTATGGTTTCCTTTGCTGTGCACAAGCTTTTAAGCTTAATTAATTTATTTTTGTTTTCATTACTCTAGGAAGTGGATCTAAAAAAATTCTTGCAGTCATTTATGTCAGAGAGTGTTCAACCTATGATTTCCTCTATGAGTTTTATAGTATCAGATCTTATGTTGTTTTTAATCCACTTTGAGTTTACTTTTATGTATGGTGGTGGAGTTATTGTTCAGTTGCTGAGTCATGTCTGTCTCTTTGTGACCCCAATGGACTGCAGCATGCCAGGGTTCCCTGTCCTTCACTATCTCCCAGAGTTTGCTCAAATTCATGTCCATTAAGTCAGTGATGACATCCAACCATCTCATCCTCTGTCATTCCCTTCTCCTCCTGCCTTTAATCTTTCCCAGCATCAGGGTGTTTTCCAGTGAGTTGGCTCTTTGCATCAGGTGGCCAAAGTATTGAAGGTTCAGCATCACTCTTTCCAATGAATAGTCAGGGTTGATTTCCTTTATATTGACTGGTTTGTATGGTTTTAGGGAGTGTTCTAACCTCAAAATTTTACATGTTGCTGTCCAATTTTCCCAGCACTACTTACTAAAGAAACTATCTTTGTATAGTGGATTCTGGGAGAAGGCGAGGGTGGGATGTTTCAAGAGAACAGCATCGAAACATGTATATTATCTAGGGTGAAAGAGATCACCAGCCCAGGTTGGGTGCATGAGACAAGTGCTCGGGCCTGGTGCACTGGGAAGACCCAGAGGGATCGGGTGGAGAGGGAGGTGGGAGGGGGGACCGGGATGGGGAATACATGTAAATCCATGGCTAATTCATTTCAATGTATGACAAAAACCACTGCAATGATGTAAAGTAATTAGCCTCCAACTAATAAAAATAAATGGAAAAAAAAAAAAGGAAAAAAAAAAAAGGAACTATCTTTTACCCATCATATATTCTTGCCTCCTTTGGCATAGATTAGTTTACCTTAGTTGCATAAGTTTTTCTCTGGACTTCCTACCCTATCCCATTGATCTATAATCTGTTTTTGTGTCAGTATCATCCTATTTTGATCACTATAATTTTGTAGTATAGTCTGAAGTCAAAGAGCCTGATTCTTCCAAATCTGTTTTCCTTTCTCAAGACTGCTTTGGCTATTTGTGGTCTTTTGTGTTTCCATATGAATTGTAAAAAATTTTGTTCAAATTTTATGAAAAACAATGTTGGTAATTTGATACATATTGCATTGAATCTGTACATTTATTTGGGTAGTGTCGACATTTTCACAGTATTGATTCTTCTAATCCAACAGCATGGTATATTTCTCCATTTATTTTGTCATCTTTGATTTCTTTCATCAGTGCCTTAATTTTCTGAGTGCAATTTTTTTTGTTTATTTTAGGTAGATTTGTTCAATGTATTTATTCTTTCTAATGTGATGAGAATTGGAATTATTTCCTTAATTTTTCTTTCTGATTTTTTTTTAGTGTATAGAAATGCAAGAGATCTTTATGTATTAATTTTGTATCATGCAACTTTTCCAAATTCATTGATAAGCTCTAGTAGCTTTCTCGTAGCATCTTTAGGATTTCCTATGTATCGTACCTTCTCATGGGCAAATAGTGACAATTCTCTTTTCCATTTTGAATTCCTTTTCTTTTTCTTCTCTAGTTGCTTTGGCTAGGGCTTCCATAGCTATGTAGAATTAAAGTGGTGAGAGTGAATATTCTTGTCTTGTTCCTGATCTTATGGGAAATGCTTTCACTTTTCCAACATTGAGAATGATGTTTGCTGTGTGTTTGTCTATTTTCCCTTGTGTTGAGATACATTTCCTCTATGCCTACTTTATGGAGAGTTTTTATTATAAATGGGTGCTGAATTTTTTCAAAAGCTTTTTCTTCATCATTTGAGATGATTACGTTTTTTATTCTTCAGTTTGTTAACGTGGTGCATTGTGTTGATTTGTATATATTGAACAATCTTTGCATACTTGGAATAAATCTCATTTGATCATGGTGTATGATCCTTTTAATGTGTTGATGATTTCAATTTTCTAGTATTTTCCTGAGGATTTTAGCATATATGTTCATCAGTGATATTGGCATTTAATTTTGTGTGTATGTGTGTGATATCTTTTTCTGATTTTGCTATCAGGCTGATGGTGGCCTCATAGAATGAGCTTGAGTCTTCCTTCATCTGCAGTTTTTTTCAGTTTTAGAAGGATAGGTGTTATCTCTTTTCTTAATATTTGATAGTATTTAATTTTGAAGTCCTGTAGTCGTGGACTTTTGTTTGTTGGAAATTTTAAAGTTATGGTTTCAATTTCAGTACTTGTTCTTTTCACGTTTTCTTTTTCTTCCTGGTTTGGTCTTGGAAGGCTTTCTACAAAATTCTTTGTCTTCTGAGTTGTCCACTTTACAGGCATATAATTCTTATAGTAGTTTTCTATGATTCATTTCTGTGGTATCATTTGTACATTTCTCTTTTTATTTCTACTTTTAAAAATTTTATTTATTTTAATTGGAGGACAATTACTTCACAACACTTTGTTGGCCCCTGCCACACATCGACAGATCAGCCATGGGTGCACATGTGACCCCCAATCCTGAACCTCCCTCCCATCTACTGCCCAACCCCCAACCATCTGGGTTGTCCCAGAGCACCGACTTTGAATGCCTTGCTTTATGCATCAAACTTGAACTGGTCATCTATTTTACATATGATAATATACATATTTCAATGCTGTTTTCTCAAATTATCCCACCCTCTCCTTCTCCCACATAGTTCAAAAGTCCGTTCTTTACATCTGTGTCTCATTTGCTGTCTTGCATGTAGGATCATCATTACCATCTTTCTATTTTCCATATATATGCATTAATATACTGTATTGGTGTTTCTCTTTCTGACTCACTTCAATCTGTATGATAGGCTCCAGTTTCATTCACTTCATTAGAACTGACTCAAATGCATTCTTTTTTATAACTGCGTAATCCATTCTGTGTATGTACCATGACTTCCTTATCCAATCATCTGCTGATGGACGTCTGTGTTGCTTCCATGTCCTAGCTATTGTAAACAGTGCTGCAATGAACATCGGGGTACATGTGTCTCTTTCAATTCTGGTTTCCTTGGTGCATATGCCCAGCAGTGGGATTGCTGGATCATATGGCAGTTCTATTTCCAGTTTTTTAAGGAATCTCCACCATGTTCTCCATAGTTGGCTATACTGGTTTGCAGTCCCACCAAGTGTAAGAGGGTTCCCTTTTATCCACACCCTCTACAGCATTTATTGTTTGTAGACTTTTTGATGGCAGCCATTCGGACCAGTATGAGATGATACCCACTGTGGTTTTGATTGGCATTTCTCAAATAATGAGTGATTTTGAGCGTCTTTTCATGTGCTTATTAGCCATCTGTAGGTCTTCTTTGGAGAGATGTCTATTTAGTTCTTTGGCCCACTTTTTGATCAGGTTGTTCATTTTTCTGGTATTGAGC